TCTTAATATAATACAAATTAGTTTTATAACGCTAAATATACATATAAGGGTGATACTAAAGTAATGTATTTTCTTACAAATTTATGTATATGTGAAACTTTTCCTATATATTAAATTTTATGATTAATTTTATGGTATGAAATGCAAAAAAATATATCGTACCTGCAAAAACTTGTGAGGTCTTTGAAAAAACTATAGGCACATAGAACATGTATATAGATATATCTAAGTTTGCGTGTATGACTGAGTTCATTGAATATGATACAAAGACTTTGATTTTAGTAACACTTTTGTCCAAAATCACAATAGTGCCTAATATGTAGTGCCTTGTGATGAATGAAACGATGCGGCCAATTTATAAAGTGATTCAATACATTATCAGTTATGTAACAGATATATATATATATATATATATATATATATATATATATATATATAACTAATAACGTACCTTTCAATAACATTGTAAAAGTTTAATGATTGAATAGATATAATTAGGGTATTTCGTGTACAAATAAATCAATTTCAAATACTGGTATTAATATCAAATATTAGGTAACGTATGTGTTGCTTCAAATCGCCTAGCATATTTTTCTGTAAGAAATTCAATGATGTAATTATTTTTAGCTTATATCTTACATATAATTAGTGTAACATGTTTTCTTGATTGATAGCGAACCCGGTATTGTGAATTCTGGCTGTTATGCTCATTTAAATAAATTCAATCAATTAGCAAAACTTCAAGAAATTATAAGCCTTATATGTTATTCATAAATAATTAAAACGTTTTAAATTTGAAAAAGTGATTTTTTAATTTATTGTTGAGCAAAACTAACAAGTCCTACGAAGACTTATTAATTTTTTGTCGATTTTAATCTTACCAAATTATTTTTATAAAATTTTTTTGAAATCAAAATTTTTTAGATGTCCACAAATTTTCGGAAATTAAATTAAATAATAAAGCTGATGACTTTTACAACAGCTCAGATAGTTTGTACAAGATAAAATTATTTTAATTGTAAAGTAATTGTATATATTTAGTTTTAGTTTTACGAACTGCAGGTATGAAATATATTTTTAAAATGTATTATAAATAACACACAGATAAAAATCATTCTTTAATATATATTGTAATATTTTTGTGAGTATTATCAAAATTTCACTACAATGATAAGCAATTAATAGTAAACAAGTTTGAATCATAGTTTGCAAATTCATGACTGCGTGTTGCAGATGCATTATATGATAATTGTAAATGAATTATTGCTCGAATATAAATACGATTTCTATATTTATATGTCTGTATTAAAATAGCATAATATTATATTTTAACTATATAATTTAAATAAATGCATTAGAAGAAATCAGTTTTTTAATTGTTTAATGATTTTAATACACGTAATCTATTGTGATTAGCTATGTTTTAATTTGTGTTACAATTAACACTTTGGGGACGGCTGTCCACCTGAGTGGACAAACATACTCTTTCAGGCACAGGCTATTTTATAAACAATGACTCAGTTTGAATCGAAAGGTTGAATAAATCACATATAGCAGTGATAAACAGTTTTATATTTTGAAAATAATTTTAATTTATTGTAGTAAAATTTTTAGCCATTTTCTTTGCTATATAGTCCTTTTTAAATATTAAAAATGCCCGAGCGGCGAAATATGGCAAAACGACTGGTAAATTTTGTGAATTAAGCAGTAGTGAAGATGAGTTCCAAATAGACAAACATACAGACAAATTTTATGAAACTGCTATTTGCACCGACGATAGTGATGAATGTGATGATGTTATTATCTAACCAACAAAAAGAAGAAAAAGTTCGACAAATTAAATGAAGAGCGGAAAGACATTAGCGAATCTGCCGATTCTCCTTCAATAATCGAGTTTTACATACATCAACAAAACCCCGACTACAAATGCCAAGCAATATAAGACATTCAATAGATTATTTTGCCCTATATTTTACAAATGAATTATTAGACAATATAATAGAAAAAACAAACCATTATGGCAACAAAAAAATGAACAAATATACTGACTAATCAGTGGCATATTCTAAATACGATAGAAAAAAAGGGTATTGTCTGTTCTGACAGAAAAGCACTAGGAGGAAGGCGGCAAACAACATTTTATTGTAAAACATGTCAAAATCAACCAGCTATGCATTTTGAAAATTGTTTCGAACTCATTCATTTATAAAATGAATCATCATTCTTTATAAAATGATCCAAAGTCATCATTCTTTATAAAATGATCCAAAGTCATCATTCTTTATAAAATGATCCAAAATAAATTAATATTATAAATGTATGTCCTTCAATGACCACAATTTTTTATCAAACAAATTGCGTAAGATACACAATGAGAATCGAATTTTATGATTGTTTTGAAATCGGTGCCGTCCCGAAAGTGTTAATAAGTTGGTTATTTGAACATTTTAAATGAAATCGATATTTGCAGCGAGTGTCAAAGAGCAACGTGAAATAATGCAATGGTGGTATTAAGAGAAGTGTTATGGTAACATTATGTTACGGGTCTATCTTCGTATGAATTGGTAGTATGAACTACCAAAAACTGTATTTGCTGTGCGATAGACATTTTACACATAAAACCTGACTTTGCGTATGTGTTATAAAAGAGGCATCAGAAAGTTGCACTTCTGGAAAATTATTTGACGTTTGTGAGTTTTCTAGGTTGGGTTTTATGAGTGAAACGCCTGATTGCACAGCAAATAGGGCGTTTTGACAGTTAGTTACTACCAATTCATACGAAGATAGCCCCGTAAGATAGTCTTGCCATAACATTTCTATTTTATTCGACATTTGGCTCCCTAATAATTTTAAAATAAGATTGTTAATGTTAATTAATTGTCAACGAAAAATATATATTAGTCATATTCATTCCACTCATTTCAGTGATGGCTAATTAATAGAGAATTGCACCAAATACAAGTTAAAAATTGAATAATTCTTATATCAAGGAGTCCGACCTCCGTCGGGCGCAGCGATCTGACACATATATGGCCAATATTTTAGTACCATTCTTTATGATATGATGTCATCGAGATCCCAGATCTCAGTAGTCTCGTTATTTTATGTGTGGCTCGCTCGTAGGTAAGTGGCTAGAACGACTGGACCTGGATCAGGGGCCACGGGTTCGATACCCACTTCGAGCAGCCTGTTGCCAGGCAGCAGTGACAACGATTTTCACTTGGAAATATAGATAGCAATATGTTTCCAAGTGAAAACAGCCCTAATACGACATTGCTGCACCAATTAAATGTATCACTATTACAGTAATTGTAATAATAAAAATTCAGCACATAGAGATGAGACAACTGTTTGGGTTTGTAAGATATTAATGACAACAGCTCATAGCGAACCCATAAGTTATGATCGCTATTTAAATAAATAAAAAAAAATTATGTGTACTATTCATTCGTCCACATTAGATTGCCTAATTTGTTCCAAGAAACGCACTAAGCAAACTTTGTTTGACGTACAAAATGACAAAGAACCGTAAGTATTTATTATTCTAATTGTTTATACAGTTTTTGTATAAACATTCTAATAAAATCTGTCATTTTTTGTATAATTAATTGAATTAATTAGTTCAGTAATAGTAAGGTTTGTGCTTCAAACCATTTGGGGCATGTATAAATGTTTTGATCTAATTTATATTTTACTTTTATTTGCTCATAAAATACATATTTAGAATTATAAAAGCGCCAATTAAATATAAGTATATAAAACTAAGTGCCTCCTTTGAATATATTTAAAATCTGTATCTGTCAGATACACTGCGCCCGATTCTGTACATATTTGTACTGCACCCGACAGAGGGTTAAGAACAAATACCTTGGAAGAATTTTTATACGAAGTAAGTCGAAAGTGTCCGAATAACATTTGGACCGGCCGTGGTCCCGTGGTAAGAACGTGGGCTAGCAAATCCTAGTCCCGGGTTCGAATCCAACCTCGGTCGGTTCGGTATCAAAGCAGCTTGATACCAAATTTTCACTTGAAATCATAGATTTCAAATATGATTTCAAGTGAAAATGGCCTTTCGTGGGCAAAGCTGTAGTGGCAACACGCCACTTGGAAGTAAAGAGGTACTAAGATGGTATCGCTTTGAAATACAAAAAGGAAGTCGAATTTGTATCCCTATACAACAGAAAAATGTAAAGGCTCTGACATCGTGCAACCATGATTGAGTGCATTTTCAACTCAACCCACGGACCTGCCCTTGGAAGAAATATTCGTAAAGAAAAATGTAATAAACAGTAAAAATATGTAAAGAAAAAGTAAAATATATGTAGTATGTAAGATAAAAAGAAAAAAATAATTAGTAATAAAGTTTAAAAAAAAAAAAAATAATAACACTTCGTACCGATATGCCTAAATCAGGAAAAAAAATAATATTAAAAACACATATTTTAGTTACGATTTGTCGGTGGCTTGGTGTGTTTGTGTTTTTGCTCATATTTAATTGATCCGACGCGTTGAAAATGTTATGGTAGTTTTTAATGTAACTTTATAGAAATATATATTGAAAAACGTAATACATTATATATTTATTATTAATTTTATTTATGTTTATCAATAAAAATTTATGGTTATTAATAAAAATTCATTATCATGAATAACACGGGAGGTCGTTTCGTACCTCATGTACATTTAGTTTCACAGTGCAAAAAGAATGCGGGTTGCTTCTTTTATATTTAGAAGTTTATAACAGATCTAAGCTATTTAAGAGAAAATTATAGTTGATTATACACATTAAAATAAATTATTTTACCATTAATATGTTCAGGACAGCATGTAAATTAAGTGCGTACGAATGAATTCTCAAACAAACATTTGCAGCATGTGTATGCTATTGCTTTATTTTTAAATTTGACAAAATAAATAATTTATGACAAGTGTGCTGTAATTAAATAGACAAATGTATTCAAAACTTTTTGGTGAAGTGAAATAAGTGGAGAAACCTTAAATCTGTCTCTAGACTAATTTATGGGGCTTCTTGATGAGTGGTGAGTTCTTCTTATTTCAATCAATTTTGTTTTATGGTTACAATTTATACTGATGAAAAATAATGTTACCGATTCTATAAGAGTATATATATATACATCAATTCATGTTAGATATTATATCATATCTAAATTTATCAGACCGCAAGACTTTGCTCATTATATTCCAATTAAATTAATCATAAACTCTAAAAATTCTTCTAAATTTAATTTTTATAATTAAAATAAATAACAAATATAGAACAATGACATAAGTTATCCTTTACCATCCGGCACTGATTCGAAACAATATACCAGCTTCTTGCTGCTGAATTCCAACAAAAACGTACCTGCTGTAAATATCATATTATTGTGCATGTTATACAATTTGTGGGCATTGAAGAACATACATTTACAATAATATTTAATTTTATTTCCTGTAGCATGTTAAAATTGAAAGCAATTTCCAAAAGGCAAGCAAGGTTTGGTTCTACTGTCGTTATAATTACCTACCGTCATGACAGATTTATCGTTATAATTACCTACCGTCGACGGAACGGATCAACCAATTTAAATGATTCAATAAGGCAGGTCCAGTCGTTTCGAAGATACGGTACAAAAAGTGCGAAAAATGGCAATTTAGTTTTTTAGATAGCGGTTGAATCAATCAAAAAACATTTTATTTGACGAAATATTGACGGAATGAATAGTTGACAAAATTTTTGGAAAGGCATGTCCTGGATTTGAATCTCTAAATTCAGAAATATAGTTAAAAATTGACATTTTATGGTCAAAAAATGATAATTGCACATACGCATATCAAATTAACAAATATTTTATACAGATTTTAATAATGAGTGCTATTTCTTTAGTTTTCATACTAAAGTTTATAATTTTTAAAATTTACTTATGTAGTTCAAAATGAGGTAGACGACATTTTCGACACCATCGAATAACAGACTCGAATGGGTTTCAAATTTTTCAAAAAATTTCAAATTTTCAAAAAAGTCGTTTTTTTTTCAAATTTATCAAAAAAAAATCAAATGTTTTCAAATTTACAAAAAAAAATCAAAATTTCAAGTTTTCAAGTTTTCAAGTTTCAGAAATTGCATGCACTAGTTTATTTCTGCACTACTGAACAATTTTACTTTTTCCATTTTTGACATTTCTTGCGGAGGTACGATATTATAATCCAGTTTGTAAGTTATTCAGTAAATTCACGTTTAAGATTTAATAATCAATCAGTCATTGGGCTTGCCCGTAGGTAAACGGTTAAGAGCGACGGGACCTGAATCAGAGGTCCCGGGTTCGATACCCACTTCGAGTAGCCTGTTGTCAGGCAGCAGTGACAACGATTTTTACTTGGAAATATAGATAGCAATATGTTTCCAAGCGAAAATAGCCCTTGCCCGGCATTGCTGCACCAATAAGAAGCCAGCCCTATTACATTAATTCTAATAACAAAAATCATCAAATATGGATGGATTAACCATTAGGTTACCATCTAAAAAATACGAAGGAAGGAGAAGTTTCAGCCCAACAGCTCATAGGACGTAAGGTTCTGATTGCTGTTAAAAATATAATAAAAAAAATCAGTTATTAATGAGGTAATTTATATGATGTGAATTTCTGCATATAATTAAGATGAAGACATAATAACTCTGCGTCTATTGGCAATTTATTGTCTAATTTATAGTAATCAAATATATTTGTGTTGGTTGAATTTATTTTGGTGGAATTTCTGGTACGCAATCATCTCCTTTAAGACACTTGAGTTCTTCAGTGTCGAATTGTAAGCCAGTTGGACAACTTTCATGAGTCATTTTCCATTTTCTGTCTACTACGTAACATACATAATATTTCTTGCAGTCCTTGCGATCGGCGAAGGGTCCACGCTTGCGGCAGATCATTCTAATTTGGAAGAAAATAAAGTATCAGAATATTTATGGACAATAATTTTTATTGTAATAAGAAATTCAGTAGCGAAGTATCATCAATTTATTGGAAACGTATAAGGAAATTTGACTTCGAGGTTTAAAGAAAATATGTATAAAAAAAACTATGTTTCAAATGCAAAGTAAAAAGTTTATAAGAAAATATTTTAAACATTATTTTTGCGTATATATATATATATATATATATATATATATAGTAAGAATGAATTTAAAAAATATATGTAAACATTTCATTTACTGTATATGATTAATATACAAAACATGTATTTAAGATCTTTAAATTGGTATCATATTTTGTTGCTTGTGGTTTGCTTTGAACGTATATAAAATCAGTAAAAACTTATTTTGAAGGAAAATTTTTTGATGAAAATTGAATGTTGAAAAATAATATATAACTATATCATTTAAATTATCCATAATGGTTCAAATATCCAAATGTCTATTAATGTACCGTTAATGAATCTTTATTATGAAAGTGAGTATGACAACAAGCGTGGGCTAAATATATTTTATCACAGTGCTTGTTTAAATCATTTTTTCTAAATTTACAGAACTATATATATAAATAAGCGTGAAAGGTAAAATAAGTTGTAGAAACTTAGTAGAATTTAGTATTATATTATATAAATAATTAGACATCTTAAAATATTTTATATTATATATTTTTTTTATGTTCTGAACAACAATCAGATCTATTTTTAATTTTCTATATATATATATATATATATATATATATATATATATATATATATATATATATATATATATACGTACAATAGAATGCAGGAATGCATGATTTGAATCAGAATCTCTGTTTGTTCAATATTTATTAAATACTTATTTTACCCTCCGTCGGTCGGAGTGGTCTGGCCAGACTTTTTCCGACTTCAATTAAAAAAAATATACTTCTAGTGATCCTATCGACTTGAAATTTCTTGACGTTTCCTAAAATTTCATTAGCTGTCGATCAATGAAAAAATCAGGACGAAAAAATTCTGGAGATATCGGGAGAATGATAATTATAAGGATATTAACTTTTTTACACCTCGAACGGTCGGAGTGGTCTGTCTAGACCACCATACATTTTGTATGAAATATGACGCGTTTTGATCAGTCTTTTGTATTTTTTTCTGGTATTTTCTATTCAAACTGCGTTTTATATATTCTTTGCTATGTGTTGTAACATAAATGTTAGTATTTACATGAACACATATGAAAATGCCTTGAAAACCTATCAATTTATTGGCTATCGCAAACATTGTAAATCAGCGCACATTATCAACAATTTTTCTACCAGTACTGCGTTTGAAACTTTTTTGGTAAACCTGTAGCCGTATGCAATTAAAATTATATTTTCACGTTGAGTTACTGCTCATTTCAAAGGCGACGCACCTCATTTCGTTTTCATTTGAATTTCACATTCATTTCAAAGGCGCCGAAGAAGAATAAATATTGTTTCTCATTGATATAAAACAAAAAAAATTAACAAAAAAAGCAACGATTATTTTATATTCTATGATTTTTTTTGAAATATATTCATTAGAGGTAAGCTCAACACATGCAAAAGACGGTAAGAAAAAAAATCAAAACTATAAATATTTATTACTAATAATCGATAATATATAAGACATCAAAAACTCATTTATCCCATATAAATGCATGTAAAATGAATGGTGGTCCAGCCAGACCACTCCGACCGTTCGAAGGTTAATAAATATTTGACCGACGGAGGGTTAACTATCTCTTAGCAGATGAAAATACCGCAGTGTCAAGCGAGTATAAATTTAATTATATAGAATTCATAAATGTGCTCAAAATGATAAGAAAATATCAGCAAGTAATGATGACTTATTTCGTCGCATTGAATTGCATATTATGTAATATATGTAATAACTATTTAAAATATTTGAGTAATGATTTACCCGCATCCAAAGGTTTTTGGATTGAACCATTGGTTGATCTCGTCCTCGCAACGGAACACGGTTGTCTTGTTGGTTTTGGCGTCGCACATGGCGTATATAGATCTGTCCGGAGCGTAGGTGGCGAATAACTGACCGGGGGGACACGTGAGTACGGCGCAGTCCGCCTCCGTCTTCTTTAGCTTGCACATCGTGGTGCTGTGGTCATACACGTATTGTTCGGGGCACATGTAAGGGGTTGCGTCACCGCCGGCCTTGCTGCAGTAGTAATATTTAGTGCAGTCACTTGCATCTGTAAAAAGATACTTGCTTTAAAAGTATTCACGAAGTAAACTTTATTAAAACTAATACAAATATGATGCAACAATCATCAAGCAAAGTTTGCGTTGTAGTCATAAGTTTAATATACATAATTTAGCTTAATATATAATATAATATACTATTTCAAGGCCTGTTATTTTGATTCGGGGATTTAGTTTATATATATTGGGGTTGTTCGGAAAGTACCTTTGTTTTTATAGACATTTTGGCACGTATTTTCGTACAATAAACAATTACTTTAATAAATTATGTATTGGCAGTTTTGATCGAACATCTTTTGTCATACTTCTGGTATTAATATAATTCCGAGAACATAAATTTTTCGGTCGTTATTGACAAAAAATTGACCAAAGTGCTTTTTGACATGCTGATTTGAGGTAAAAGTTTTCCGCCTTAAATTTTTTTCATTGGCTAGAACAGATAATGGTCCGATGACGGTAGGTCTGGAAAATATGATAAATGTGTCATTGGGTCTCATTCAAGCTACAAAAACTTTTGGCGATTGACCAAACTTATGTGAGGTCTTGCGTTGTCTTGATGCAGGACTATACCTTGCGTGTGGGTTAATTCTGACACTTTCTATTGAAGTTTATCAGTTAGTTTATCCAGCTCATGACATGTGGCATCCGAATTAACCGTATGTTATCCTTGAAATTGAAAAATGAACAACTTCTTTAAAATCCTACGTTACTGTATCACCTTTTTGGCAAATTTCAGCTTTGCACCTGTTTTGAGCAGGTTCTTTTTTGTTTCATGGGCAATTGCGTGTATTATATTTTTTAGATCCCATTTGACATTCCTAGTGACAATTTGCTTCACAATCTAATAATTTTCTGCGTAACACACGTTTCTTTTTATGAGAACCATACATTTAATTTCCAAGAAAATCCCAGATTTTTTGAGTGGTCATGAGCTGAGCAATGAAATCTCATGTATTGTTATTTGCCAGTTTGCATCAACTAATGCCTTTCTCACGTCTTTATCAGTTTCAACCGTACTTCTAAGACTTCGTGCATCTTGGACATCAAAATATCAGGAATGAAGTTGAGCAACCAATTTTGACACTGTCTTACTATCAACACGTTATTACCGTACACATGGGTCAATTTCGTTTTGACTTAAACAGTATTTTTACCCTTTCTAGAGCAAAAGAGTAAAATATATCGAAAATCTGCTTAATTCTTTCCGTATTCAAAGTGGCATCATCCAAAAACTACTGCATATAATAGATTAGAATTTTTTACATACAAGCCTTAAAATATATTTTTTCAAATCATATAATAATTATGGGCTTGAGTGTGATGTTATAAGTTCAAAAAAATATAGTTAAATTCTGGTGGTAAAAAAACGAAATGACTTTTCAAACAACCTTATATACATGAGATTTAATCTTCAGGGCAATACATCAATTGAAAAAAATTATAAAAGTTTTATTATTCCATACGTTTCGACATATTATTTTATATCATCTTCAGTGAAATGTAAACTGGATTACTTCTAATTATCTCAGATGAAAATAATCTGAGATAATTAGGAGTATTCCAGAATAAATTTCATAAAAGTTCAATTTTTTAAAAAGTATTGCTTAAAGCATTTTTCATCTACCCTGCATGGTTAATTTAGATTTAGTATATCGCAATATCCATGTATCATATTTTTGATAATAGCATGCAAATTTTTATCAACGTCAGCCCATGGGATCTCAGCGCTAATAATCACATCGTCATCCTGATCTGTAGTTATTTTATTATATAGCCAGATTAGTATACATCCAGATGAACACAGTTTCAAATACTTCATGTTGTACGATGAAATTCTAGAACGATTTAAGTTTTTGTCGGAACACACGTGCTATAATGTTATGCCTAATTACGTCTGATTGCCCAGGAAGAAACAGCTGATGTATCTCGTCCCAAGCCGGATTGCATGTAAAAGTGGTAAATAAATCTGGGCATTAGCATTGCATCTTAAGTATACTCTTGTATGTTACGTGGACTGCCAAAATATGAAGATAGCATACTTTGCATTCCCACACTCAACTGCAGTCATTCACAATTGCATAGTGCTTAGTCTGTTTTTGTCTCGTACAAAAGATATTGATTATATTAGTAAACTTATATGAAACTTATTTATAAAATATCGTATAAGTTCTATTTACAATCTACTTTTGTTTTCGCGATATTTTGTAAAAGTCGCAGTCAAAAGATCTGATATTTGCGGTCGGTGATATGTGTCTTATGCAAATAGTAGAAAACAATTCTAAATGAGGATTATATTTTGGGCTAAAATTTTAGCTCAATCGGTGCAGAACTTTTTGAGTTTTTTTAAGCAATTAGCAATGATCAATATATTTTTAATATTTAAATAATATAGTTAATTTATCATCTCGATAGTTCATTTTAATCCTTTTCTATGATAATTTTATAACAGTGAAAAAATATTACCGGGCATGTATCCTTCAAATGTGCAAGAAATACCGGATGCTTTTTTACAAGTTTCATCTTCCTCGTCTGGTTCAGGAGCGCATTCGTTTTTAACGCAGAAAGGATTCTCTGGACTTTGTTCAGAACATGTGATTTCAAGCATTGGTTCTGTTCCTTGGCCATCGCACATCTAATCAAGAATTTTGTATATTATTATTGAATTCAATATTTTTTTCAATATTTTCAATCATTACCAAGGGCATAAAAATAGCTTATTTGATTTTAAAATCTTACCAAAAGCGTGGAGCAGTCTTTGCACAATCCTCCAGCTGTTCCAGCTTTACAAGACTTTTCTCCCGATGGCGCTGCGGTCGTAGCATCTGGAGCTGCAGTTGTAGCTCCTCCTGCTGCGGTTGTTTCTCCTCCTGCGGCGGTAGTTGCGTCAGGTGCTTTTGTTGTGGCATCAGGAGCTTTTGTTGTCGCATCACCTGCTGCTGTTGTTGCATCAGGAGCTTTTGTGGTAGCATCAGGCGCCTTTGTGGTAGCATCAGGAGCCTTTGTGGTAGCATCAGCTGCTTTTGTGGTGGCATCAGCAGCTGTTGTGGTTTCAGGCGCATCCGTTGTTGTAACTGCACGAGCAAATCTGGATCTTGTCATTGGTATCCCTTCGACATATTCAGGCAAATCCCAACTTGCAGCAGCTACCGAAAACTATAAACAATTTAAATTGGAAAATTATATCAATTAAATAAAAATAGTGGCGGGCGTTGCTTGGTCAGTAGCATGTCCGACTCACATGCACATGAATTTGAGTTGTTCGGTTAAAATTGAATAAAATTTGCCAAACGTTCAAGGAAGATATTAATATAAAAACATAGATTTAGAAGAAAAAGAAGAATAAACTAATAAATAAATGAGCTAAATGGAGCAGACACATTTTATTTGTAAAAAAAATAATTGGATAGAATAGGTTATATATAAATATAGTATATCATAGAAGAAAAGGAGAAAAAGATATAGGAGAAAAAAAAATGATATTTTTTTTTATTATGTACTATATAATTCTATGATTCGAACTCTGCCAAACTCGACATCAGGCAACAATATTTGTCATTGTACAATTTAATGTTAAATATTCCAAATGTAGGAATACCAAAGTACAAACTTGATTTTATATTTAAATTGTTATAAACTGCAGGGTACCGTGGGTTTATATAAATTATTATACCTTTTATATTAAATTAATTCTTTACAAAATATTTTTTTTTTAAATTTTAATTACAATCTGTTATACTTAGGACATTCAGCAATTGTTTTGACTTTTCTTATTATATGAATCTTGAATGGATGCCAACCTAGTAATACAGTCCAATTATGACTAATTATCTATACTCGAAGTATTTGCTGACATTTTTATTATATATGCAACTATATCCACGAGAGGTGATTTTCACTTGAGGCTATAATTGTGATCTATAACCTCAAGTAGAAATTTGACATCAAAGTTGCCTGATGCCAGACTTGGCGGTAGCGGGAATCGAACCAGCGAACCCGGGACTAGTTGGCGCTAGCCCACGTTCTAACCGATATCGCCACCGCTGGCTCCTCCACAAAATATAAGAAAATTTTAAATTTTGTTCTGGTTTCTGCAACAATATTGAACGGTATTCTTTGTTTTCATTACATATTTTTAACACACTATTCAGTTTGCAATTGTAACATTTACTAACAACACTTGAAATATTTAAAAATAGCTTTTTGTCCACTAATTATCAGCATTGAAAAATTTGTATAAATTTTGCAAATATTTTCGTAATCGCGAGGAAAATTTAGTAACATTAGTCCACTTTAATTTTGTTAAAAATAAACAAATATTCGTGTACTCACAGCTGCTACGAGAACGATAGCAAGAAACTTCACCATTGCTGGTTAATTGCTGAATTTGCACTAATTAACTTTTTCATATTTTAATTGAACTGCTTGTATTTATAGGCTCGTTTGGTAAATTTGATCCAAACATGGCAGGGGAGTATCACTTTACTAATTTCATCTGTTTTTCTATTTTTTTTAAATATATGATGGGTAGTACCGTCTTAGGGCAGGTCCGTAAGCTGAGTTAAACACCAACTAGATTCAGGGAAGAATAGTGTGAGAGATTTTCCATTGCCATTTTACACCGCAGTGCCCGAGATGAGCTTATTTTCAAATCAGTCGTTGGCAAATTTGTTTGCATGATTTTCAAGACAATCACACATTTGAAATTAGAAAGTGTATTTACGAGCCAAAATTTAAAAGTAATTCACCATGCAGCTGTTGTTTTGTTTAATAAATTATCTATTTTCTCCAAATTAGATAATAATAGTTATCAGTTTATTTTTGTTTAGGCAATAAATAACTATTATCTATTAAAATTTTATCAATAATAACTTGAACCAAAATAGGAATTTATAATAAAAATAATAAAATATCATAGATAACTTTAAATCTAGCTTTAATGTGATTTATCTACGAATTTATCTACAATTAATAATTGATTCTTTTGATTCGTTATTCTATGAGAAACTAAATTAATATTTAACTGAGCATTTAATTATTTTATGCATATTGATTACTAGTATTTAGAGCTATTAGATATTCTAAGTTTGCTACCTGCCTTGGACAGCGTGATGTCAAAAAGCAGTGGTTTTGGTTTTCACTTGAAAATATATTTAGTAATATGTTTTCAAGTGGAAATAGTCTTTCGGAGCATTTTTGCGTCAATAAAACAAATTTATGAATATTAGATAAATTGTAATAATAAAAGTCATCATATAGAGATAGGACAACCTGGCTTGGAGTAAGTGCAGCACCTGACAGGGCATGCTGTTAAAAATATAAAAAACATCCTGAATAATATTATATTATTGCCATATTAATCAAATACCCTAAACATTGTAATTGATTATATTATTATATTTATGTAATTTTTGGAACAGCATTATTTAGTGAATTATTATAAAAATATCATATCAAATACATTGAATTTATAGTTTATCAAAGGTTTACATCAAATGCATAATCATGTGCTTTTGTATAGCATTAAAATTAAATATTTTTGTATTTGCGCAAGTGGTGCGGAACCTGTGTTATTTACGAATGGTTCTTGTTGTATCACCAAAAGTTCTAATGTCAAGTTTAATTACCACGCATGAGTTGAAAGTAATATTACACTTTTGTAGGTTTAAATACGTCATTTGATAAAATTAAACATTATATATATATATATATATATATATATTAATTTAGATAGAAATATGAACAAACAACACTCTTTTCTGCACTATTTTATTAAATAATAATTTTCACAAACGTTTCGAGACTAGATTTGTCTCATCATCAGTGTGTTGTTATAATTTAGAATTTAAAGTATGGAAACCTAAATTTGCATTATGTGTTATCCGCTAAATGTTGTTCGAAATACTGTCTTCTGCCCCAACAACGATCATCGGTTTTCGAATTCTCAATTCTATACGATTTCAAGTAGATTTTTCAAGTGGCTAGAGTCACGCGATATCAGATAGGAAAGGAAGGATTAGGGTCCAGTTGAAAAATAGATGTCAATAGGAGAAAAAATGTTCTATGAATTTAGACAGTTTGTTTATAAAATTTGTTTTAAATTATTATAAATAAAAAAATATATGTACATATATATACCCATATATACAAATGCATACCCATAGTGCAAAACATCACATATACAAATACCTATATACCCAAAACATACCACTCATATATCCACTCAGAATACATTTGTTATATATATATATATATATATATATATATATATATATTTGAATAGTCTTGAATTTGATGTTGATATAATATATTTAATTCCAATTAAAAAGTCGGGCGTTACATCAATAAAAATAGTATGAGAGTTTTTAAAAATTTATTTAAAATCCATACGTTTCGGCTAGCATCTTAGCATTCATTGAATGGCAATTTGTTTAACTATAAAAATTAAAACTAAATAAATAATGTGTAAGAAATTTCATAAAAAAACAATAATAATAGTAATTGAACTTAAGATTGTAAACTGGATTACTTAAGATTTTCGAATCAAATTTAGATTTTAGTTTTGTAAAAGGCGTTGAAAACGTGTTTTTGGAAGTAAAAACTAACATTATGCTCAATAAGCAGTTTTCTCCGCGTTTGGTATAGTATAGTAGTTTTTGCTGTCATTCAAAAATAATAAAATTATGTTTTAAATTAACAGAATTTTTTTTAAAGCTAGATGATTATTTTATTTCACTAATAAATTCATAGATCTATACATAGCATTGATCTTCAAAGTGACCCATTTTTTACTACAACTAATTGCAATTAGTTATAATGGTTATGGTTTCAAACGCTACCACCAGAAGAGCCTGAAGAACCCCCAGAAGATCCGGAGGAGCCACCAGAAGATCCGGAGGTGTCACCAGAAGATCCGGAGGTGTCACCAGAAGATCCGGAGCCACCAGAGGATCCGGAGGAGCCACCAGAGGATCCGGAGGAGCCATCAGAGGATCCGGAGGAGCCATCAGAGGATCCGGAGGAGCCATCAGATGATCCGGAGGAGCCATCAGAGGATCCGGAGGAGCCATCAGAGGATCCGGAGGAGCCAGCAGTAGTAGATGCAGGATTATCCGTGGCTGGTGGTGCTTCAGTAATTTCGGGTGTGCATGTTCCAGAAACGCACCGTAAGTCTTTAGGTTCAAAGTATAATCCCTTGGGACATTGATAATTTTTAATTTGCCATCCACCGTTCACGACGAAGCATTGATGATACTTTGTACAATCTCTGCGATCAGCAAATACTCCTTCTTTTTTGCACACGATTCTTAAATAAGTAAAAAAAAATATAATTAACAAAGTAAATTGCTTCGTAGCGTACACAATTTTTTGATCATATTCAAAATTCATTGTTTTCTATTCTGTATTTAATGACTCGATAATATTTTTGACTCAATAATATTACTCAATATATTTGTAGTATTATATCAAATATATCAAATCGTTATTATAAAAACAGCACATTTGAAACGATGAACTTAGTAGTTATACTTATGTTTGCTACTAGATGTTTTCTTATAATTTTTTTTTCAAATTGTAAATAGATAGCAACAGAATAGTACTTCAAATAATCATTCTTGGTATTTCGGTAATGAAAAAACGAATGTAAAAATATTGAAAGTATTTATAAATAAAAATTTACTGACAGTAATTTAAAAGTTAGTCATTTTAAAAATTATTGTTTAAATGGGTGGTATCAATGGTGGTACAAAAAATTTACAAATGCCCACGATTGCAATGCTCTTATAATCCAAAATTATTAATTGATAATAATGTTGCAATGGTATATACTAGGATTTAGTTACAAAAGAATTTTAAAAAAATTACAAAATGTTGACTATTTGAGAAAGGGCGATTTTCATACCACTTTTTGAGTTTCTCGAATTTAAAAATAATAGAAATTGAAACTTAGGGATTAGTATATATGCTCATTAATTTTATAAAAAAGATTTGCTGAAAATTTCAGGTGAATCGGTTCAGTAAAACTCGAGAACTCGCGGACTTTTCATATAGATAAAGACAGTTTTGAGAAAAACGCGTTTAAAGTTGGGCAAAAAGGAGGAAACAGAAGATGATTAGCATGGTCAAACATCTGCATAAAAAAATTTGAATTTTAAAAAATTCTTTCGTATATATATTCTTAAATAGTTAAACTTAAAAAAATATGAAAATAAAAGTTTTTTTGATTATTTACACTAAAATACCCACTAAAATATAATAAGGGTATTTTTTATGTTATATATCATATTCCTTGTGTAATTAATATAGGCGCTGAAGGTAGTTCATGTACATTGCTCACGTAATTGTGTATTTCTTATAATATTAATAAAATATCAGCAAGGAATATTTTGCACAAGTTATCAAAATGATAACAACTAAAAGTAAATGTTTCAAACTCGTAATTGTGAGGTATTTTCTCTTAGTTATATCATTATTATTCTAATTTTTTCAGTTTACAACGTTATATTATGCACTGCATTATCTGAGGATTTCGACGAAAATCTCGATGCATTCTGCAGCGCGCGGTCAAAACAAATCGAAACTTTAGGAAAGAAAACCAAAACCGGGTGCTTTTGCAACTTTGCGTACATTGATTATGAAATAGAGAAACCGTCATAACAGGCAGATCCATAAAAATTTATATACTAGTATATATTTTGCGACAAATTTTAAAAGTAACCAAGTTTATTATATCTTATTAGTGACAAAGGGATTACTAGCAGTTTGTGTCTAATATCTAAAATATTATAAAAAAAGTATTATAAGCGGTACCTGCAGGAAGAAGTTCCAACATCAAACCATTCGTTGACTGCGTCTTCACATTGCATGACTGTAGGTTCTAATCTATCATTACACCAGGCGAAAATAGATTTATCTGGAGAATAGGTCACGAAAGAATTTGGTGTCGTGCAATTCATTACTGCGCAATCGGCTGGCGAACTTTGTTTCTTGCACAGATTTGTGAAGTGATCGTACACATACGAGGATGGACATTCGTAGACGGTTGATTCGCCATTGTTGCAATATATGTACCTCGAACAATCCTTGGGATCTGTATGCAAAATAATTGTAGATTATATAAAGAAATTATAATTATATTAAGTGATGTCGCTAGTCTACACGCATATATATTTTTTTCAATATTGTAAAATACAAAAAACCAGTCGAAATTCTATTTCCACAATCCTCAAAAATTTTAAAACATTCTAAAATTTAACTAGTGGTGCGTGGCATCGTCCTTAAGGCAGGTTGCTGGAACTTTCTGTACTAAAATTTAAATTTAATTTTTTTTGAAAACTTTGAAAAAATTTAACTTTTGAAAAATATGCAATTTTTTCGCGCTGTGTTAGCTGCGTAGACACGAAATATCAAATTGCGTAGGCACAGCGTAGCAGTCTAACGGTTAAACATAATTGCAGAACTCATAGAAATGTACAAAATTTGTACTTATTATTAAAATCTTAAAAAAATATCTGATAATTTTATATGCTAGTGTCTAATAATCTTTTTTGACTGCCGAATGGCATTCTTTTTTACTTTTTTTGTTGGATCTCCGAAACCGCTAGATCTGCTTTTCCAAAAATTCAATCCATTCTTCATTTTGCCAATACAAGTGAAAGGTATCTTAAATTATTGGAATTGGACGATCCGTTCTCTCAAAAACTGAATTACGATTTTGAGCACTTTTTGCCCCGTGTCTTTGAAACGGCTAAACCTGGCTTTGGCAAAAACTGATCAGCACGACTTCTTATTAATAGAATTCGTATATTTTTGAATTACTAAAATCGGTTGATTTCTGTTCTGGAAATCGTCCGCAAAAAATTGTATCCGCGCATACACACACATACACACATACAAACATTTTATCTAAGGTTTGCCAAAATTTGCCAATCAGAAGGTTTTGAAACGTAAAGATAATTGAAAATTTTTATTTTTGATTTTTTGCAATTGATATAACTATTACTAAGCTAAGAACCTAAATAACAACTGAAATTGAAAGGATCACTCAGCATTTGAGTAAATCAATGTCGTATATAATGTATTGAGAAAAATGGTTAATGAATGTTTCTAGCCCAAATTGTTATCTTCATCATGTAGTAAATGATCGTTACGAAAATGGTACTTTTGTTTTTCCTTAGATTTTTTATTCAAATCTACTAAAAATTGTACGCCAATTTAAAATATATCTTTCGTTTTTTCGTAATAGTTTCTGATGAACTATCCCCATTATTCATTTGGACTATAATCGGTGGGGAGGGGCTCGCGGTGCAAAAATCCATTGGATGAATTGTATATTTGTAATGTGTGCATATTTTTCTTTTAGATTTGATGAGCGTTGTTTCATTGATTTATTATCGTTTTGGCTTTTAAATATTAAACATTTTCAATTTCTTATCTTAACTATTAACTTATTTAAATATTTAGTTTTTTATTAGCCAATATAATTGAATATAATTTTTACATGCTTTGATGATATGAATGCTAGTTTTTCTGTTACGCTTAGTTTTAAATTAATATAAATTTTATAACTAAACTAAAATCAATTTACCTGGTTGATAACCATTCATTGCACAGGAACCACCTGCCTCACAAGTAGGATCGGTTTCATTTTTCACCGCAGTACACTGGTTGTTAACGCAATATGGAACGCTGGGATTGTCCCTGCAAGTGATCGTGGTAACTGGAGTCGTCGAACCAGTACAAAACTGTTTTAAAATAAAAAAAATGACATAATTAACTAACCAATTGATTAACTTTAGTTTCATTTTAAACTCAACTAGTGATACATGGCATTTCAAAACAAAATATTCAAAACTTTAAAATTTCGATAAAATCGACTTTTTTGAAAATTTTGAACTTTTTGGAAAAATCGAATTAAAAAAATACTTTGTTGAAAATATTTACAGTTAAGTCGGTTTTTCCATAGTGTCGAAAATGTTAAGAAAATTTGTTTGAACTATATAAGTAAACTCAAAATATTTTTAAATTTTAGTACAAAATCCAAAAAATTTAAAACAAAATGTTTCACTTATTATTAAAATCTTTATAAAATTACAAATAATTTGATGTCCATACGTCTAATAATTATTTTTGACACCCAAATGGTATTTTTTAAATCTTTTTTCTTGGATCTCCGAAACCGTTGGATCTGCCTTCAAAAAATTTTTTTCCATAATTTCTTTATTTTGTGAATACAAATCAAATGATTTTTTAATCATTCAAATCGGCCGCTCCGTTCTCTCAAAAACTGTATTGCCATTTTTAGCACTTTTTGCCCAGTATCTTCGAAACAGCTGAAGCTGCCTTAGCCAAAAGTAATCAGTACGTCTACGCGTCAATAAGAATCGAATGTTTCTTGAGTTATTCGAATTGGTTAATCCGTGCTCTCGAAGTCGTCGACGAAAAATTGTGTTTGCACATACACATACATACACGCACGCACACACAAACATTCATTTTTTCTAAGGTGTACCTAAATGTTCAGAAACTATAACTTACCCTACGGGAAGTTAATATTGTTATTGATTTATGAATCAATTTAGAAACAAAAAGTTTTACCCGATTTAATTTTAACTTTATAATATTAAGTCACAATAATATTCTTCTTTTCACACTGAAAGTTTCAACAATTTGCCTTGACCACGATAAAGTAAAAAGTTACATACCGTATTAAAGAAGTTGCACACTATGTATAATGAGAAGTGATAGAAATTGTCAAGCTATTTTTGGTATAGGTTTAGAAATAAAATAAAGGCATTGTTTCTGATCAATAAAGTAATCTATTCAGAAATCAACAACCTTTACAGAAGAAACTTGACCTGATTAGTTAACACTAGATTTACGGAACGAGCCAATTTGAAAATTGAAAATTTGGATGACTATATACATATAAAACTATATACATTGGTACAAACAAGCATGGAATTGATGCATTTGACCAAACGGTAAAAAATGTTTATTATTTTTTTTTATTATGAACATTTCATTTAAATTGGCTTGGACCTATTTTAAAAAAAATCCATTTTCTTGTATGAACCAAATTGGCTCACTTTAGTAAAAATTGGTATAATATATGCAATAATTTTTAATTGAAATATTAATTTATATAAAATTAACTGTAAATAATCTAATAAATTTACCAGCATGGTATTGCAATCATGACACATAGCGCCAAATTTTCCACTTGGGCACTGTGGGGGACCAGATGTATTTCTTGCTGCCACCATCCTTGGTTGCATTACGGGAGCACCGCGTAAATACATTGGCGAATAATTGGCAGCCACCGCCCCCACTGCGATCTATAGTAAATGATATCCACAAATACATATTTGAACTAATAGACATAATACTCAACTTTAACACGAAATTTATATTTTATAATGAAAACTATTATAATTATAGTTTTTTTATTTACCAGCACGATCACAAATTCCCTCAAATGATTCATTTTGCACACTTTACTTCACTGTGAATATTTGAGATTTTGAAAAAGCTCTTCACTTTATATACAATTTTTTAATCACATTATCAAAGACGTCAGAGGTAATAAACTTTAAGATAACGTGCTGTTAATATTTTGGGCACGTTATATTTATTTATTTATTTTAATTCATGCTCATATTTTTACTACCGTGTTTATGCTTAAACTATGTATGTAATCGCAAATTAAGAGTATACTTATGCATTGAGTATTTTTTTTTTTAAATTTTATTACATGGGGATTTAGCCACCTACAATAAATTTTACTTTAATATTCTATATAATTTTTTTAATTCATCATCTTCTTTCTTTGCAATTTCCAATCAACAATACAAATTTTAATTAATTCTAACTCAACATCAAACTCTAGCTTAAGACATTGTGTACTTCTTAAATATTTCTTCTATTTATTCGTTTCACATTATCTAAATTTTTCATAGATCTTCTTTCTTCTGAATCCATCTTCTTCATTTTTATACTAATGCTATTGCGTGTTTTCCTAATTTTGTGAAATTTTTACTTGATACTGTTTTTTTTTTCATACATCTTCGATATTTATGTACTTTCCCCAATATATTTCGCCATTCAAGGCTCATAATAAACATTGTAACAAGCCTGTTATCAATTTGTTAATAATTATAAATTGAAAATTAAAATAATTCTGAATTATGGTGATTTGTGCATGGTGACAAAACATTGAATGCATTACCACTTCAGACTTAGCTTTCAAATTCATTATTACATAGAAATGCATTGCATGTTATAGAATTGAATCATTTTAATAAATGTTAATCAAAACTATAAACCAATAAAATTGTTTGTTCTGCTACTAAAATAATATTGTTAATCACAAAAAATTATTAACAAATTAATTAACAATTAATATATTAATAACATCATATTCCATTATATTTAAAAATATTTTAAAAAACTCTTTGTTTTCAAGCTTTAAACAATTATTATAAAAATGTTCTTAACCTGCGAAATCAAATTTTTATTTATACAGGAATTATAAGCTTTGGGAGCTAATTAGTCAAAATGCGGACATCATTGTTTTAGTTTATCTGACATTGAGTTCATAGAAAAACACTTATTGTGCTACTTTAATTTATTATCTTTTTGGGCTCAGCATTCAATACGAATTTTTGTAAATGATATAAATTCATAGTTATATTTTCTAGTGTTTAAGTTTAATCAATGTGAGCGATGTTAAATGTAGAACTGCTTTAAATAAAATAATGAGCCTCCATTCCTACACTATATTGAAAATTTAAGCCTTTTAAACGGTATAACAAATTCAGAACAAATTAATATGTAGTATCCGCGGTAAAAGTACAATATTATATTGGATTTTTCTAATAATAATTTCTCTAATAATGTTGTCTATAATTTTTATGTTTTTGTAGGTTTTTTAGTAAATATAATATCTAAATTACATTTTTTTTAGTAAAAATTTATTATACATTATTACCAGAGACGCTCCTGGGGTCCTCAGAGCCCGCATGTCATATTTTTTCTAGTGCTGCCTCCCCCCCGCTATTATTTTACCTGTTCTAACAGATTATTATTAAAATTATTATTATTAGTTAATAATAAAATTTTGAAACATTTTACTTATTTATTTTGGGCATTTTATGCGATTTATTCTATTGAGCAAATCATACAGCGCAAAAAAAATCTAGCCTTTCATTATTAAACATAACTGGTATTTCAGGTTGGATTATTTTAAATTATTTTTTTATTCTTTAATATATACAAAATTGCATCTTAAACTTCTCCTAATTGATATCGTAAGGGCCGAATTGTATGCATTCATCTTTACTTTCCAATTTGTTGTTTTAAAGTAAAATTATTAACGTATTTTAAAAATATTGCGCAAAGATTAGCAAAAGATGCAATGAAATTATATATTTCTTGAATTATATTGAAAGAAAAAACTATATTGTAAATTCCATATCCGAATCTTGTGTTGACGCTCTCTATGGCGTGTGCTAGTATTTTTCGCATGCGTCGCATTCAAGGTAGGACCCTGATTATTACTTAATTTTATATTTTAAGTGCATTAATGTGTCAAATCTTGTTCATATGTGTATCATTTAATGTGCCATGTATACATTGTATCTTATATTATTTTAATTTCTATCACATCTCAGCTGCTTTTTGGCAATAATAATGTAGACATTTTATTTTTCTTATTTGCAATCTTGAATTTATTATACAAATTCTAATATTGTCTAGGCTCGTAAGTAAATTGAAATGTTTGGCTGATCACAGTTTTCATTTGTTTTCAATATCAAACAATGTCTTAAATGTTTTTTGCAATTTTTCTCATTAATTTCTACAATATTAATTCATTTTTATAATGACATATATCCTGAAAAATTCCCTTAACAAATTTTAGAAAGATTTATCAAAATCCGAATAATCGTTTAGGAAGAGTATATTTACATACATCATTACAGAAGAATTTTATATTCTTCTGTAATGATGTATAAATTTTATATTATATATATATATATATATATAATATATATATATATATATATATATATATATATATATATATATATATAATATATATATATAATCATTATTAGCGTAATTAGCTATCCCGTATATACGGAATAGGTATATACGAAATGCCCGTAAACCTAATGAAGACCATGATCTCTATCGTCATATACATTTTATATAAATCACCGAAACAAATTTCAATTAATAATTAATTACAAAGGAACGGCCCAAACGATTTATTTTTATTAAAAAGATACATGTAATTTCATAAAGCTTCTATATTTATATATTTTAAATAATCAGAAATTACTATAGTTAATGACATTTTGTTTGTGCTCCTTACATAAAATACAATTTTATACATTTTAATTTTTATACATATTTTTTATATTTAATTGCACAGATCATTTGTGTATTTATTATATTAATTGACTACTTTATGATAATTTGAATCCTAATTAGTCTATTCAAGATTGTTTTCCTGGTTTAAGCCTTACTTAGCAATCTCACTTTTGCATTCTTCGCCGGGTGGCGTGGGTATGCATCGCAACTCCGTTTTATCAAAGTGCAAGCCATTTGGACAATCATAATGTTTTATTTGCCATTTGTTGTTAACCAAGAAACATTGATAATATTTTTTACAATCTCTTCGATCGGAAAAAACGTTTTCACTTTTGCATGCAGTTCTGAAAATAATACATAATATATAATATCAATATGTAAATTAATGCATAATGTATATGTAATATTTGTTGCAGTTCGTAAATTTTATGTGGATAATTATTTTAATAATAATTTATTTAAAGTCGGTCTACTTTTGATTGAATAGGTAAAAAGTAAAAATATAAACTTTCAACTAACCTGCACGAGAAAGATTTTGGGTCAAACCATTCGTTGACGTCGTCTTCACATTTCAGTACGATCGGTTGCAATTTGTCATTGCACCAAGCATAAATTGATGGGTCCGGTGCATAGGTTATAAAAGAATTGGGATTTGTGCATTTCATGACGGTGCAATCAGCTTCTGACGATTTCTTTTTACACATATTTTTAGAATGATCATATACATAGTTAGGTGGGCATTCGAAAACCTGACCTTTACCATCTTTGCAGAATAAGTATCTTGTGCAGTCTTTCGGATCTGATGAATGGAACATATATTGTCATTAGTTAACATAATTGTTTTAAAGTCTTTTTTTTCTCGCAATAGTTAATATAATTTATTCAAACTCTCTCTTTCTCTTTCTCTTTCTCTCACTCCCTCGCATTTATTTGCGTTAAGTGAATTACAGTTGAACTTCATAGTATATTTCTTCTTGATTTTGTTTTTGAAATCAGTAGTACAAACTTAAATAATCATATTATTCAATTAATCATTATTAACTTCAAAATAATATATCATAGTACCGAAGTATCAATAATAAATTCATAGAAACCTATATATAGAAAAATAAGAAAACCATATATTGATAAAAAAAAACATATATTAATAAAAAAAACAATATAGGAATAATGTTAATTATGCTAAAGTGAGTTTGTTACTTTTCGAGTTTATAGATTACCTGGCTGATATCCTACAACCGCGCATGTAGTTTCTGCCGTCTTACAGTTTTCCCCAGGTTTTGATGAGCACATATCATCTACACAAAATGGAGCATCGGAATTTGAGTCTCTGCAATTGATTGTTGTAATTGGGGTTTCTTGTCCAGCGCACAACTGCAAAAAAATAGATTTTTTCCTAGGGGGCCGTTCAAGTATTACGTAAGAACTATAGGGGGCGGGGGGTTATTGATTTGCTTATTTTGGGTAAGAACTTTGCTTACTTTTGCTGACAAAGGGGAAGGGGGGTAAATAATTGTAATAAATCTGCTTACGTAACACTTAAACGATCAATGAAATTGTGACTTCAATTATAGGCTATGCACAGATACACATTTTTTTATATATCTCCATGCATATTTATAGTTTGACATTTACAATTATTCTAAATCAAAGCTTGATCGGTAGTTATACTAATTTAAAAATTATTTGATGTAACTTTGTAAGAACCTATAAGGTGTTGTTAAGTTAAACTTGACGATTCGCTGAGCGATTTCTTTATAATCGGTGGATGAGAGCAAAATTTTTTGTTAACGTTTTCATTAATAATCTTGAACCTATTTTGCCAATTCAAAAACTGTTCGATAAAAATCGTTGGAAATTGTGATGATCAGTATGTGGCAAACATAGGGTATCTTAGTTATATTAAGATTTTTTTATGATTTTTGTGAATTATTGCATAGTTATAAAGATTATGATCTGAACAAACATCTACAATCTATAAATAGTGGTTGAATTTAAAAAAATCATAAAAGATTCGATGAATGGGTTGCACGCATAAGATATATAACATTTATAGTTCCAATTGAAAATCGGATTGATTAGTGTATAAGAAAAGCAAATTCTCTGATAATTTTGAATAAACAGTTGAAATTGTTATCATTACAATTATAAAAGTTGTTAAATCTTACATCTTACTGACCACAACAATTATTTGCATATCGTTAATTCATGCAAATTGTTTAAGGCAAAGTACCACTTAAACCTAATTCTAACATTTTCACTAACTTCTAAGTCTTCATACTTTCATTGGCTATTCACATATTTCACTAAATAGCTTTAATTATAATTAATTAAATTATTTTAATTTAATTTATTATAATATACCGTTTGTTATAATACAAACGTATAAAGTACAAAGATATAATATTTACTCATATATATATATATATATATATATATATATATATACATGAAATTGTTTAGGCCTATAGTTACATAAAACAAATGTAATATATATTTATGGGCTTACGTGGTTTTAATTTAAAACAATATAAGCAGCTACGACAATCTTTATATATCTTGAAGTGACTAGAAAACTTATGAATATAAATTTAAAAAATGTTATGAATTTATACAAAAGCTTGAATAATCTTTAGATAAAATTGAAAACATAAAATTTTCAATAAGTTCAATACTTTACCTTCAAAGTAGAACAATCGTGACAAAATGTTCCCAACTGCTTATTAGTACACTTTATTTCTTCATTGCCAAATGTTGTTCGTGCTCTGGATCTTCCCACTGGGAAACCGCGGACATATGTGGGCGAATTCCTGTCAGCAGCCACAGCACCCAAGGCAAACTGCATAAATTTTATTCTTTAATTAAAATTTAATTTGTAGTATATTCATTAAAAAAACTCCAAATTATTTTAACTATTAGTACAGAACTAATGTTTAACTAATTACAAATATTTACCACTGCAACCAATAAAGCTCCTAAGAACTTCATTGTGAAAACTTATTCCTAAGTAAAATTATATGCAACTTATATTGCAGTCATAATCTTATATGCCTTTATATATTATTTCTAAGTTGCATATGTCAGAGAGTAACAGAGTAGGTTAACAATTTCATTTATAATATTACAAGAAAAAGCTCCTAAAGCTCAACTTATAAAGAACTTTCTCTTATGATATTGATTTTAACCAATGTGAAAAATTAAAATATTGTGATCTCATTAACAACTTGATGTGAAATTTATTGATATATCATAAAATAAATTTTAATTATATTTAATTTAAAATTCCAATAGTTATTATCACTATTTTTTATTATTGGTACAGCTAATATTTTAGCTTATTTTATTTTAAAATTAATTGATGATATTCAGGGAACATATTATTTCTAATTACACTAAATTTATCACTTATCATTGCGTATACATTTAGAAGTTGCAGTTATTAGTTAATTAATATGTTCTAATTTGTTTGTACACTTAATATAAAAAATATTCTCTGATTTGGAATGTAAGGTATCCGGAAATATGAATAGTTTTATTAGATTGTTTTATAAATCTAAATTTTGGTATATGTTTCACACCTGAGAAATCGTGTTGTTAATTGCACTATTTATCTCATATCTAATCATTAACTTCTATAAAATAATTTCTATTTAAATAGTTCCATAATTTATTACTTATAATATGTGTACATATGTTTATTGATATAGTTATATGCATATTTAAGCAAGCTTAGCAAATACTAAAATTAGAGAAATATCAACCCATATAATATTTTAATACATCATATTGTTAGTAATATATTTACCTATAAGAGTAGAATTATTTATCGCCAACATCGTTTCTAGTTGCTTGGAGTGCAATAATATAATTTTTAATATTAAAGTTACAAGTTGACTCTGTGTTAAGCAATTTATTTATATAGTAATGTTACTAAAAAGTGCTTGAATAAATATCATTAAATAATAAATTTGTCAGAATTTCTAAAGTTGCCTCAAACCATTATAATTTTGATGTATGACGGTCCGTTTAAAAAGTTTTATTTTAGTGGTAATGTTTTACACTAAAACATGCAAATTAAAATCTAGTATTTTAAATTTATATAAAAATATTTTGGGTAAGGATTTTTTGGGTAGCTTATATTTTTAATGCTTTTAATGTGGCTCCATAAGATACAGAAATAGCATGATATTTTTACAATCTCTCAAAAAAGAAGATTATGGGGCCGATTCCGCCGTAAAATAGACCAATGTTATGGGTAAGCTATACTACCAAGCGCTTCTCATACAAAATGGCACTAAAATACTGTCATAACGCCATGTATTTGCTGTGCCATCAGGCGTTATATACATAAAATGCAACTTCACCAATGTTATCATGCCACATCACAAAGATGCGTTTATGATAAGATTGTACGTTTGACGTTTGTGTGTTTTCTAGGTTAGGTTTTTTATCTAAATCGACTGACTGCACAGCAACTACATGGCATTTGGACAGTATTTAGTACCATTTTGTAAGAGGAGCGCTACGTAACATATATGAGATATGATCTCGTAAAGTATTAATCTATTCAAACGAACAACATAAGACATATTGACTGTCACGTTTCAATTTTAATGTTGTTACACTCCTTACTTATTCAATAAAAAAAATATTTCTGAACTAAAATTAGTAAATTTTTAACTAATAGAAAGGTGAACAAATCTAATAACTAATAGAAATATGAACAAATTTATGAAAAAAACAAATAAACTGATTCCATAATAATTTAGTTGATCTGCATTTAACCGGAATAGAGCATCAAGTACTCGAGTGTATTTTTCAAGTTTTATTGGGACACATCATATTTTCAGATATAATTTTGTAACATTTCCAGAATATAATCAAATGTTTTTGCAAACATTCTAGTATTAACATTTTTATAGTAGATCTATAACCCATACTACAACTTTGTGTTGAAATGTAATTGCAATATAATGTTGTGATAGGAGAGGGGGGGAGCTAATAAAGGTTCAATTTAATTTTTAGTAACTATTTTATGAAAACCAAGTCAACTTGCGGTGATCCATTGCGTGGTGAAGGCTAGTTACATGTGTTCCACCCTCTACTTTTGCTACAAAATTCCATAGTGATAGTGACTTGATTGTTATCGGTAAAATGGTAGAATATTATTAGATCTTTTAACCAATTTTAGTAGGTGCCACCAAATGAACGAAAATGTCTGTCCCTTAGCACCAGACACTAAGTCGTCCTTTAGTTCCGGACAGTAAACATAATGATATTTCTTGCGAGAATCTACGTAATTTATTCCAAGTATTTAATTTTGTTCTGTATGAGCGCTAACGGTCACTACATACCCCCATTTTTTGTATTTCCTAGTCAAAGAAGGAAAAACTTATGGTGAATGCACCAGCTGAGAGCATCGGTGTGGCCCAGCCAAAAAGGTGGATGAATAGTTGCAATATCTAATAATAAGAATATTCGTCAAGGACACATGTGCAGACATTCCAGTGTGTGGAGATGGCTACATATGTGATTGATGCAGGTTTTTTTTTAAATGTCCGGTACTAGGTGCCACTGTTTAAAATCATATTTTTTGATACCAAAGTTTGATAGATAGTATTAATTATATTTTAGCAAAGATTGCGGTTTTGTTAGTTTAGTTAGATTTCTAACTTTGTTATCTAACATAAATTATAATTTAATAAACATTTCATAAAATATTTTTTGATTTATTTATAAATAACTTTAGGTGTCCGCCACTAGGGGACTTCCCCCTACATTTAGAAGTCCGTATTATTTCTTACTTTTAATTTTATTTTCTTCATTTTTATATTAACTCTATATCTTTATCTATCTATCTATTAGTTCAACCAATAAAATTAAGCGTAAAATGAATAATTTTGATTAGAACAAATATATTCATGGATTTAAAAAAATCTAAATTGTAAAATTCTTAAATGCCTTATCATATTTGCGAGCCTGTGTTCAACCATAATATTTTTTTATATAACACATAAAGTAAAACAAAGTACATATTTTGTATAGTTTCTTTTGTTGAATACTTCATCAATATATTAATATAATTTAGGTTTCCTCTCGCAAGTTCCTGTGTTGCAGCTTTGAGTAGCTTGGTTAAATACTGTTCCAATCGGACATTGATCAGGAACTGGCTCTCCTTTAGGACGTAAACACGTGAAGAACTTCCGGCATGTTGCGTCGTTCTTGAAAGCAAATTTTCCACGTGCTCGGCATTGCCCGACACAGGTTTCGCTCCTTGGGGAAAACTCGGCGGGTTCTTCGCATTGCAATACGGTTCCTCTTCCGGCCATACATACGACGTACAATGATTTATCACCAATGTACGGAAGCACCTGGTAATTATTAATTACAATCGACTTAACTAATTTGTCATTCTGAATATATGTTTGAAAATTTTTACTGAAACTAGTGGAGAGCATGGCATCGTGTCTTAAGACAAATTGCTGGAACTTCCCGTTTTGAAAAAAAAAGAATTTTTGAAAAAAAATTATTTTGAAATATTTTGGAAATTCAGAACATTTTTTCAAAGCAATCGTACTGCTTTAACTGCATAAAGACGAAATATCGAAGCGCGTAAGCGCCGCCTCGCCGACTAACGGATAAACATTGGTATGGAACCCATAGGAATGTAAACAAAATTTATACTTATTGTTAAAATTTCTATAAAATATCTGATAATTTTATGTGCATATGTCTAATGATCATTTTTGACCGCCAAATGGCGTTTTTTTTACTTTTTTTTATTAGATCTCCGAAACCGCTAGACCTGCCTCTATGAAAATTTGATCAGTTCTTCATATTGTTAATACAAATGAAATGTTTTTGAATTATTAAAATCGGACGCTTCGTTCTCTTGAAAACTGAGTTACCGTTTTTGGCACATTTTGCCTTCGTCAAAAACTATTCAGCACGTCTCCTTATCAATACGAATCGAATGTTTTTCAAATTATTCAAATCGCTTCATCCGTGTTCCCGAAATCGTTGACGAAAATTTGTATTCGAACACACACACATACCCGCACACACACACACACACTTACATCCATTTTTTCTAAGATATGCGAAAATGTTCAGAAGGTTTTGAAACGTAAAGATATATAAAAATTTTCATTTTCGATTTTTTGCGATTACTATAACTTGCCCTACTGGAAGTTAATAATTTTTACTTCCCGGAGAAGTTGATGTTTTTTTCCCAAAATCCAATTCGCTAATTTTATATTTTATCGACATTTCAAGTCATATTGAATCGAATGAAACCAAATTTGAAAAATATGGTGTGTGCATGCGAGCCAATTTTTGACATTTCGTCAATCTTTTTTCAAAAACGGCTGGACCGAATTCGAAAAGTTTAAAGCCATTTGATGTAATTTGATAAGGACTTTGATCAATTTTGCGCGACGATTGGCTTTAAAATTAAAAAAGATGTGTTGTAACGGTTTTCGCAACGGTCCACAGAAATTAATTAATAATTGTTTAAATAGATTCTTTATGTTATTTTCTTTATATTATGTTTGTGTGATTTGGTGAGCAGTCTACAAAACTTCTAGCAAAACAAAATGTTAATTTGAATGATTAAATAAATAATATAAGGAACTACTTATATGATTTACGTAAAGGTGCCTGTATTCTTATAGCAGATGCTTAATATTTCATAAAATAATTTATTAAGTTTTTTTTAAACAAAATTTTTGACGTTTTAAATGAAATTTAACATGGCCATGAAAGTTCATGCACTAAACACTTCTAAGTGTGAGAAATTAATTGGAAATTGAAATTGTTGATTTAAGTGAAAACTAAAACTTTATTCTCACACTAATATCTAAATCTCAATTTCGGTTATATAAGTCAATTATTAACCTTATCGGGAAGATTTTGAATTTAGCCTCAAAGCAAAATACCACTTGGGAATATCTACGAACTTGCTACAGTACTTGCTATTAGTTTATTATTTATTTTTTGCTCTTATTTTGCTAAAACTAAAAAAATCGCTTAATTATTATAGATACTACATTAACGATAAAAAATATCTATGTTTAATTTCTGGCAAGAAAAAAAATTACAAGTTGCCTAACTTGCACTTCTTATATTGTCTGAATTCTACTATCCTGATTTTTCTTAAAATCAGGTCTTTCATTCCTTCGCAATTTTAATGTGAAACCTAAATACCCATACATAAAATCCATAAAAGTTTTTTTGACGCTTTAGAATATTATTTGTATATTTTTAACTTTAATTTTTTAGATATTTGATATCATATTCTAGATATTTTTCACACAGCAATAATTAAAATGTACTTCTGTTATTTTCTTCAGAGAGATAAAAAGTTCTATTTTCAATATCATTTGCAATTTCAAAAAATGTTATTGGAGTTTTTATATCAAATATAAAATTTCATTAACAATTTGCAATAAATTAATTAATAATTCAATTACCTTAGGCTGTGCAGGACATGTAACTGTATAGCATTTTGTGCCCAGAGCCATAGGTCCGCAATTATGACGTAACGGATCATATGCAAAATTTGCGGGGCAATAATATTGGGTTCCTATACTATTTTCGTCACAATAATAATAGCTTTGACAATCATTTATATCTAAAAAACGAAAATTAACAGTAAATTAGTTTAGAAATAAAATATTAATTATTAAAATGAAAAATGTATGAATAAATAAATATAAAATAATGATCGAACCGTACTTGGATAAAATCTCGATGGTGACGGACATTTGAAACCTTGTACTTTGCAGACTGTACTTTCTTTAGTGGTGCACTGTAGATATCCACTTTGATCAGCGCACACTTGATCTGGGCTACAGGATTCCTTAACCGGATCTGCTCCTATTTCCGGACAATACTGTAACAAAGAAGTATATATCAAATAAATAAATAATCATGCTATGATTATCATAATCACGACGAAAAATCAACAGATTAAATTAGTGATCAAGTTCATAATTATATATAACTTCATTTGAAAGTTTATGATTAATTAAAATATCAGATTCGTAAGATTCAATTATATTGATTTATTTATTGCAATAATATTAATTACGGTATACTTTTCACTATAAAATTAATTGATGGACCCTTTATCACTTCTTTATTAAATACATAGATATAAATAATATTATCATACAATCAATCATATAAAACTATATCACACCACTAACAATTGAAAAAAATAAGTTTATCTTCATATTTGTTCTTCATAGGAAGTTCATGTAATTTGCCGCAAGGCAAAATACCAATACCAACTAGTTTTTTTTAACTTTTTGCAGTAATTTTCTGAAAAACTATTTTAGCTTGAAATTGTATTTAGATATATATGTTCAAGTGAAGACTGGAATCTCTGGCTATTTATAAGAGAAACTCTCCCAAAATAATGTGTTCCTAAAAATTATAAATTGTATGCATATATACCTGCATTTCGGGTGAACTGCACGAATTCACGCAACTAAATTTTACTTTTTTACATTTTTGCTCGGGTTTCGGTACAGGTGTAGGTTCAGGAGTAGGTACTACTCCTGGTGCGGGCTCATCCAATGATGCAAATACTTCTTTATTTACTGTTAAAGGCGTTCCGTCGACATTAAACTCACCATCATAAGCGGTAACGACAGATAACGCCTGAAATTAAAAAAATAACAAATTTACATAACTCTTTAAGAAAATAAACTTTCACATTGAACCATACCACAAAACTAATAAAAACCAATGTGATATAAAACATTCTAATAAATATGTTACCCAGCTTTATATGTGGACTAATTATGATTAATATATTCAAATGGGTTTATATACATTTTAAAAATAAAAAAACGTTCTTATCGTTGCATTCTGCAAATAACAGGATTATTCGTTATTATACTTGGCCGTTTGCATATTGCAAATATTGAATAATAGAAGGTTATGATCTAAGCTTGTAAAACTTATTTATGTACAATAAGTTTTATTATGTCTTAGTTTCAGACACATTTTTTTGCAACCTCATTTTAATTTCTAGAAGATATATAATAGACATAAAACTATCATGAAAAGCAAAAGTATTAAATTATTGCTGAAATTATGTAGAACATTGAAAAAATATTTTTTATAATTTTAGCAGTATTAACAATGTTATTGATGCATCTTGGATCATTGGTAATAACCCGTATAAAATAATAAATTTCTATGCGGAAACAAAATATTAAAAAGAAAAATGAATTTGTGTGAATCTATTAATAATAAGTTTATATTTTGTATAACCTATTTGCAAATCATAAACTATTTGAAATTATATGCATCGAAATGATTTTAATTGAAATTACTTTAATCAGTTAAGCAGGTTTTTCTTGATTGGCAATTAAATTTTTTCGGTCACTATTCTAAAATATTTTAAAACTATTAGGTGGTTCAAAATTATTGTCTCCTATTAGTGTCAGATGAAATTTTGACTTTGTAATCAGCAGACAGAGCCTATTTCTAGACAATTTTAGAAATTCACAAACAATTTGATATATTTAAACCTTTATAAAGAGTCAACCTCTCATTTTGAGACTCTCGACCACTAAATCACTAAAAGACCTATCTAATTATTTTCGATATCTGTCAGGTTATGCAAGTTTCAAATAAACACCTAGTTCATTTATTATTACCATCTATTTGATAATAACTATGCGTTCTATTCGTTATCTCTCATAAAAATTTAATTCAAGGATTTTTTCTACTTTTAAAACAGCTATCAGAAATATGAGCTAGAGCTTTTCGGAGCTTTTTTTTAGCTAAGCACGTAGCCACAAAAAAAATTGTGCATAAATAAATTCTTATTGAAATTAAATAATAAACAATTTTACATTGATGATACCATTTTATTCAATATTAATATTTTATATACATAAAAGTATTTGGATTAATTTGTAAACTAAATAGTTGTAATTGATACATGTAGTGCCTATTACAATTTGATATAAACATGTAGATATATTTTGTTTAAATGATCAATAATAAAATCTAAGGTCTACATTTAATCGTATTGTCACGCACATTGAAATAAAATATTTGTACATTTATACACACACAAGATATGATTTTGTTTGATATTCCTTGATGTAACATTTATTAAATTATACATACTTAAATTATTATATAATAATATATATAATAAACTGAAATCAAATGCTTTTAAGATAAGTTTTGATAACTGTATATTTTGATTTTATTGTCAATTTCACAGATTTTTTTCAAGTTAATTTATTGTCATAATTTACAAGACATTGTAGTCTATTCAATATTTTCTATATGTTAAAATTTAAATTTACATCAAATTTAATTATTTCATCATTATACATTGAGATACATTTATATTATTTTTATTGTTTGATACTTTATTGTCAATGTTAAGATCACGTTAATTCCATATAGATTTCTTGTATTTATGCAGTATCTTTATTTCTGATAATAAAGTATTATAAAGTAAATTCAGATATTTATTGGAACGCTAAAACTAGGAAATGTACGTGATTATTCTTATTAATGGAGATCATTTTTTATATATTAGAATTTTCAAAAGTTTATTTTTTTAAACATTTGAGTAAATTATGTTTATTTGTATTATAAATATGTTTATAAATAATATTTCCATATATAATCTAATCTATAGATATATTTCCAACTTTATTATACTAAATATCCTTCGGTCTATATTATTGTTTCTCCCACGTATTGTCAAAACTTATTTTGAGCTATGATTGCTAAATAATATAAATTATTTTATACTTTATTTTGGGAAATATGTATTTATGATAATTCTGGTATTTTTAAGCGTACACAGAACATACGACAAAATCATTTTCTTTATACAGAATATATAAAATATCAATGTGCGATGATCGACAAATTAGTATATTAATCGTATTATAAATATACTTGTTTTTTACAGATTTTTAAAAAAGAAATAAAACTGAATTCAATAAAAATTGTTTTTACATTTCGATGGTGTCTTTGTATATTCTGTGTACGCTTGTACTATTTTTTCTGAAATAATATTGTTTTAATATTTAATATAGGACAAGATTCCACAAGTGCGCGTGATCACTTAAAATATTATAACCAGACATTCTTGATTTTTGAAAATATTTTTCTGTTTAAACAGGTTTTTTACTATGATGTAAACAATAATCCACACAAAAACTATTAATTATTTATCTTGGGTGAACATTTATTCAGTATTTTGTTGAAATTATAGTATGTGTGTTTGAAGCGTCTCTGCAATTCGATGTAATTTTTAAAAATCCTCGAAAATCATTTTTAATAATATGATGTTCAACTTATTTACAACATAAAACTTAAAACCGATTTTTTTTTAATAACTTACTCAATAAAATTTATATTCAAGTGAAGCAGACAATCATACATTTTATAACTACACATACAATTTGCATACAAGATTATATATGTTGGTAGTATGACTTTTTTCAACACAGAATTATGCATTTCTCTGGCATATTTTCATAATCAATTATTTTATTTTACTTATTGAATTAATTTATTAGAAAAATTTATTTTACATGAAACTAGGGACAATGAATCAGGATGAAAATCTTCATTGAATTTTTTTGTATCTGATATTTTAGTTACATGAAAATTAAAAAATAAATTTAATATTATAGGATAAATGTAGATACTTATCAAAATTTACGTAGATTATTAATAAAGTACGTAAAGAAAGACATTATTTAATTCCAAATAATTTATTGATATATATATTATTTTAACCGCACTCTTGAGATATCTTGTCCTAATAATAAATATTTATCTAATACTTCTCTAAAATATTATACTATAATTTTGACTGAAAAATATATATTCATATTTTTTAAGATTCATTTCTGTTTTATTATAGAGCTTATTATTGTCATTATATTCCGTATTAGTTAAAAAATAAAATGATATGATTATCAGCCTTGTTTGCGGACCTAAATTTTAAGCTAATAACGATATGATATAATTATAGGTATTATGATTCTTATGATATGCTTAAGATGAAAGGTATTCTTGGATTTTAAAATAGTAAAAATATAGATATACTTGTTTATGATAAAATATTTTATAATTTTGTTTATTTGAATGTTATAGGATAACATTGTGCTAAAAACTAAGATTATTCTGCAATTCACAAGTTTTATTAAATTTTATGATAATTTTTAACGCGTATCCAGCTGTTTCCCAAAAATGTTACTTCTTGTAATAATTGACTAATTCTCTATCTGATAAGTGAAACTTGGAATAAAATCGGCTTAACCAGAATATTGTTAATGAAGTTCTTGTATAGATTGTTCATTATCAAATGGATGTCGATAATTATAGATAAAGCCACGGATTCTAAACTCAATTAGTTTAGAACTATATATATTTAAAAAAAGCGGTAGGAAAATTTCTTTTTAACATTTGTTTACTCCTTATGGTATAATAAATGTTTAGAAATTTCGAGTTGGTGAAAAACATAATGTGAAAAGATTTTAGTTTTTCGTCCAATTATTGAAAATTTAAATAAGCAATTTAAGAGTATGCTGCATACGTTTCGAGTCTCAGTTTGACTCTTCGTCAATACGGATAACATACAAAAAGTTTAAAAATAAAATAAACTAACAAATGATTGAATTTAAATACATAGTTATCGAATTAAAAATATATGTAGGGTACAACTTGTATTTATATATATGTATACACACACACACATATATATATATATATATATATATATATATATATATAAATATATGTGTGTGTATAAAGAGTAGTAGTGTCCTAGATCAGATGCGTGGACTAAGTTAAACTTCAACTCGTTTCAGGAAAAAATAGTATGAAAGATTTCTCATTGCCATTTCACACCGCAGTGCCCCAAATGGGATGTTTTCAATTCGGAGAATATTTTTGATCTATATTTTCAAGTAAAAATGGACATCGCTACTGCGCGATGTCACATTGCCCAGAGCGTGGTTGAAACAGTACATATGGTGCGCGGTTGTACCATACATATATTTTTATTTTTTTTATACAAGATTAACAAGAACTTCATAACACTAGTTCAATTTTATAATAAGAACAAATGTCTGATAATTTCTTGATATGAATGGATATAAATACATAACGTTTTAAAAAGAAAAATACAAAAAATTACTTGCAGAACTATCGCAAAACAATGCATGAATGAACATATGCAAATTTGGAAACTGCTGGTTCAAATAAATCGTTTTCCTCAATCTTAATCATTAGATCATAAAATATTAATTCATTCAATATATGAAAGTGCAATGAGATTTTTTTACGGTTTAGTATTATCTTCTTCAAAGTCGTAGCCGTTTATGTTCGGTCGCATGCGTTGCAGCGATTTTGGTCGAGTCAGAAAGGTTATAAAATTTTCGTTTAGCAAATAGTCATCATATGGTAAATTTTCTTCGTACGCCAATGGATTATTTACATCCGACGGCTGTAGGATGACGGGGTTGTCCTCGGACTGCCCATCTGCGGTATGCGACCTGTTAATGATATAAATTCTATTAACAAAAGTTGTAGTTACAAGTTTTTGACACACTACTGATTTAAACATACATTTCAAACTCAGACTAGTTCTAACATACCGACAAATAAAATATAATATCAAACCAAATATCTAGATATTAAAACAGCAATTATAATATCACATCAGAGTATTTTGCATCAGGTTTTTTTAGTTTCCTACTAAAATCACCGAATGTAATATATGGTATCTTAAAGTAATTTCCAAACATTTGGAACCGTTGTCACTTAAAAAAATTTGAAAGTTGTTGCTTATTGCAATTCATAATTATATGAAAAAAGTATTAAAATAGTGGTGTATGGCATGGTCCTTTAAAGCAAAGTGTTGTAACTTCGCGTACCAAAAAATGAATTAAAAAAAAACTTTTTTTTAAACTTTAAAAATATTTGATCTTATAGAATCTTGAAATCTTTGAAAAAATTGACTTTTTTGAAAAAAAAATATTTTGAAATATTTTAAAAATTTTAATCTTTTTCTTTAAAGCAATCGCGCTGCTTTAGCTACGTAAAGACGAAATATAGAAGCGCGTAAGCGCCGCGTCGCACGAATAAACAATCTTACGGAATCCATAGATATGTGGACTAAAATACTTATTATTAAAATCTCTATAAAATATCTAATAATTTGATGTGCATATGTCTAATGATCATTTTTTCACTTGATTGGCTTCCAAAAATTTAATCAGTTCTTTATTTTGTCAATAAAAGTAGAATGTTTTTTTAATTATTAGAATCGGACGTTCCGTTCTCCTAAAAACTGGCTAAACATTTTGGCACTTTTTGCCCCGTATCTTCAAAACTGCTGGACCTGCCTTGTCCAAAAACTAATTAACAAGTCTCCCTATCAATAGAAATTGAATGTTTTTGAGTCATTCAAATCGGTTGAACCAAGTTCCCAAAATCGGAACAGGTTCATATACTCATGAATATAATCTTAAAAATATAAAACTATCATTATCATGTCTACACTATTATCATGCACACCTATAAACTACTTATCTATAAATTCTAAAAAATATTGAATTGACATAAACATTTTGCTAATTATCACAAAGAAAAATCGACTTATTATTAGAGATACTTACTCGAGAAATACTATAAATCGATTTATATGATGGCTTCCAGTATTATAAATTTATTACAGAATACTTTACCTGTTATTTGTCGAATTTGCAAAACTATGGCTAATGCCAATAATTAATGATATTAGCTTTAATGTTTTTAGGTAGATATGTTTTTAGATAAGTATTTGATTTTGATTTTTAATATTTGTTTTAGTAATTTATGTATTTCCTGTATACAATACATAATATTGGATACTTAAATTTTTTTTAAGAAATTATGACTTCATATTTGTTTATCACTGATTGAGTTTGAAAAGTTTTTAACCAGTTAAACGATTTGTTTGTGTACGATAATCTACTTGTAATAAATTTTTCTTAAAATAACAAAATTGTTCACAAATAATATATTTGGACTATATATTTTGGATTTTTGAATTTTTCTAATCGGCCTCGGATTTTTTATTGAAGCTTGATGTTTTTTATTAAATTGCTCATTACAAAGAAAGCAACTCGATCAAACAACGCAAGACATTCGTATGAATTATCAAAGCACATTTACAATCTTAAAATCGGACTAGCCGTTTTCAAATTCAAGTCTACATATTCATACTCATACAACCATTATAATTCTTGTATCAAAAAATTCTCAATTGAATTTTTGGGTAAAAATGTGAACTGTCTTAAATTTTAAAAAAATTTTGTAACCCCAATATTTACATTACAATCTAAATTTGAATAATATTTGTGGTAAATATTTGAATATTTGTAGAGTTAATGAATAAAATGAAACGTGTATTCTCTGCCAAAAAGTGATGTGCTAATTAATACTGAATTTGAACTATGTAAATAATCTTTTGAATGAATTAATTTATTATTTCAAATATTTACGGCAGTTTTATTAGAAAATGTGCCAAGGTTTATATGTATTATTTTTTAAAATTAGATAGATATGTTTTTCGGTTATGATTATGAGATAAGGCAAAGTGAGATCAAGCAGCACGTGATGAGATGTTTGCGGAGAATAATGACGATGTTTGCATTAACAAGATCAAAGTCAAGTCTGTTGGAAAGTCGCTTCGCTAAGTCAACGAAAATGACATTACCAAGTTAATAAAGTTCTAATATTGTTCCATGATTTATTACCGTTTTAAAGTTTGTGATTTATAGCTTAATTATATATGAATATGCGCAAATGCTTTTGATATTTAATTACTAATTAATATAACGCATATTTCATGTAATTGAATTCATTTTTTCATCACACTACATTAATTATTTTTACCTTTATATATATATATATATATATATATATATATATACATGGTCTGTTCAAAAAGTACCCGGAATTACTAATAATTAAATTTCGCGGGTCTGGAGTGTCTGATTGTCAAAATTTTTTTTTTATTGTGTTGGTATACATGCCCCTAAAGTATGATGAAATTTTCAGCTATATTCACTGTTTACTTTGTCTGTGGTAGTCGCTAAGGTTCGACGTGTTTTTCTGAGCTCGGCGATTTTTACAATGGAAGAATTGAAAAAGTCAAAGAATTTGTATTAAATTTTGCGTAAAAAATGAAATAAAGTGTTGCAAAGTGCAAAAATTCACCAGATATGGCTCCGTGTGACTTTTTCCTATTCCCAAAGTTGAAGAGACCCATGAAAGGACGGCGGTTTTCCTCGATTGAAGAAAATTGCCGAGAGTGCTCAAGGACATATCAAAAAGTGAATATCAAGGGTGCTTCGAAAATTGGAAAAAACGCTGGCATAAGTGTATTTTATCTGGGGGGGACTACTTTGAAGGGGACCACATTAATGTAGACGAATAAATAAATATTTTTTTGAAAAAACGAAAATTACGAAAACTTTTTGAACAGACCTCGTATATATATATATATGTATTATTTATATAAATACAAATTAACTCATTTATCCTGTTTTTTTCAGCATTTTCTACAATTATCTTTAATTAAATTATTTAATCAAATTAAATTAATTATTCAATTTAAATATTTTAGTTTAAAATATTTATTATTTTTCAGCAACGTGTTTCACAATTAATAAATAGTTTGAGAGTCAGTTTAAAAATATTAAATCAAATTATTGATGCTGAATTATATAAGATTAAATAAATAATTGTAATTAGGTGATAAAGCAGCATATCTAATACCATGCTTATTTATTTTTTTTTTACTATCAAGTTTGAATTGTGCCAAAATCCATACATACAAATTTGTATTGTGTGTTAGGTGAGCTTTATAAACAAATTAATTGTACCATATTATGTAAAAAATAAAAATCACATAAGTGATATATAAACACCTAAATAAATATAAACAGTTATTAAAAATTAATTCGACAAGTATATAATGACGCATATACAGTGTCAGTTTGAAATACCTACCAAAATGCAAGATTCATGATAGTAATAAGAGTTGATAATGATTTTGGTTTATTACATTTGATAATATAAATATACATTATAATTTTTAATTTTGTTGTTCAGCCAAATAATCAGACTGCAGCGCATTTATTGATTAAAATTATAAATAAAGTAGTAGAATTCTTTGCTCTCTGAATAATAATACTAGATCAAGGTTATGAACACTGTTATCTCCGTGAAAAATATACTCATGCAATTTATATTTTGCATGGGTTGAATAACGTAGTTATTATTTCGTTATATAAAATTTAAAAAAAGACATTGGACCTGTTTGTCCCCTAAATGTTCCATTTTACCTCGCATACCATCGGGAAAGAAAGGATCGGTGACAAATGTTTGAAAAACAGCCAAAGGAGCAAATTTCTGCAATTATGAATTAACCCGGAGTTTTACTGAACATAGTCAGACAGTTGTTTGTTTAATTTGTGTTATTTGTTGTGATATAGTTGCTATAGTATTCACAATATAATTGCTCAAAGTCAAATAGGACGTTTATGCTTCGTCTATCTTAATAGAGTCCCGAGCTCGAATCCAACCTCGGTCGGTTCGGTATCAAACTAGCTTGATACCAACTTTCCACTTGAAATCATAGATTTCAAATAACTCAAGTAAAATGGTGTTTCGTAGGCATTGCTGCAGCATACGTACATGCAGAAGGGGTAATAGCTGTAGTAGCAACATGCCTCAGTAAGAGGTAGTCGGATTGTATCCCTGTACTCTGAAAAATAAGGACTTTGACTCTGTGCACCTATGACTGAGCTGGTGAGTTAATACACCTACGTCTACCTTCGGGAAAAGTTATAAATTCAAATATGTTATAAAAAGAAAAAAGTAATAAACATGTAATATTTAAAAAAAAAAAGTAAAAAATGTATGCAATACGTAAGAAATACGAATATATATGTAAGAAAAAGTGTTCAGTATGTAAAAATGTAAGAAATTCTAATAAAGTTAAAAAAAATAGTAAAGTCATGCTATAAATGTATTATAATACTATTGTTTTGGAATAATTGTAATAAATAATGAATAATTTCTTAGTCATAATAAATGATTCCATCATAAATATGTGACGATAGCAAACAGCCGCTATAGCGGGCGACCGAACGCGTTATAGACGTGCATGTAGCGTTGTCCCCGAATTGCATAATACCAAGAAGATGTAAAGGGCAAAATATAAGACGCGGGAATTGAGCTCAAAGAACAAGAACGTTCGCCGGAAATATGTACAGGAGTGGATTTTTAGATTTAGAGATAATTTACAACAAATGACATTGCTCAGATTTTTTCATTGCAAATCATTAAAAAAATTAAGAGGTGCATACGCATTGTGTCTTAAGGCAAATTGCTGAAACTTCCCGTTTCGAAAATTATTTTTTTTAAAAAAAAGCCCATAGAAGTATAAACAAAGTTTATACATATTATTAAAATCTCTTTAAAATATCTGATATTTATTTCA